AGCTGCTTCTCAATATTTTTAAACCTTATTTATGATGAAGTTATATTGATGTGGCATGCAACTGAGGAGAGATACTGTCTTCTTGACCAGATATCGATCCAAAAGTGCGATAAAGATGGGGACAACAGGCTGAGAGTGTGCCACTCGGCATGCATGTCGTATAACTCAGCGTGTGGGGCATCGCTCGACTGCTCTGACCAAACCCTATTCAGCAGCGAGGATGAAGGCGAAGGGCAGTGCACTGGGGTAGGGGAAATGAAGGTATCGTGGTTGAGTCGAATGCGGATTATGTTGCTTTCGGGTAACTCTTCATTGAAGGGAAGTTTGTAAAATAATAGGGAGATCAGTGGTGGTAGTTTTCTCTTTTCTTTGGGGTTTGTAATTTTTCTTTTAGGGGTAGAGGGAATGAAAAGGAGGGCATAAATGAGGCACTTAGCCAGTTGCCTTGTTTGTGCCCTAAGAAGGGTGGGCTTTTTTTTTAAAGGGTAAATGGCCCTTAGTTGTAGTATTAGTAGTAGTGGGTTCCTTCTCCCTTCCTGTCCCAAATCAGGGCAATTTGAGAAAAAAGGGTTTTGGGAGGGCTTGGGAAAATTTGGCTTTCAAAAGAATGAAAAGCCAGCTTGTAGAGAGATTTGAAAGGAACAAAAAGGATAAGAAAGAAGAGAAATTTGTAATCTGCACAGAGAAAAAGACAAGGGAAAATGGAGAGAGAGAGAGGTGGTGAAAGGGCTTTGTTGAGTGAGGAAAACAAAGACAGTAATTAGGCCGAAGGCCTTTCTGGAAATGAGAATTACAAAGCTGTTTTTGTTGTGTATTCTTTACTAATTATTCCCGGTTGTCTTCTTCCACCAAAATCCTTGATTTTGTTGTTATACATTCTGTTTTGAGTTCATCTTTTCTGTTTCTAGACTTGTTCACCAACTAGTCTCCAAACCAAACGATGTGTTGGTTTTTCTTGCCAAGAAATTTGGGTACACATTTCACCACCTCGCCTGGAATCAGAATGAGACACATGTTGAAACTTCTGAATTAGGGGTGTAACGTGGTTTTACTTTTGTCGAGAACGAGCAAATGTATATGCTAGCTAGTCTTTATTATGAGATGAAGCTTACATGAAAGAGATGATTATCGTGATATACCACAGATCAACAAAGATGATCTTATTTCTTAACCGTAATCAACAAATTGGTACAGATGACAATCGTCATCTCCTTGCAAGAGACAGAGAGACTTCAGTTTCTTATGTTTCAAGAAAAGACAATTCAACTGTCTTTTTCGTTGCTAGGATACCGATTAGGGCACTATAAGAATTGATGAGCTATTGCCCCGCCAAATGTAGGGACATAATTAAAGGAAGATAGAATGAGAGAAGGATCATTTGAACAACTAGCGCCATGGGTCTTAGAGATAAACTATATGCTTGTAAGTTATTTTATAATGTGCAACCATAACATTTAGGGTGAGGATAATGAGTCTAATTTGGATCGATAACAAAGTACAATAACGAGTAAATTAAAAATTGCACCAAACACATACTAGCCTTGAACTTGGAGGTTCCAAACTTGTATTCCTCACCCTCAAGTAGCATCTTATAATGAAAAATTGAAAACAAACCCATATCTCCCATATCTAAACAAAGAATTCAAACTCAGAAGTTAATTTGTATTAGAATATGCAAAATATTAATTATAATATAACAACAATAAGCAACCAAAACAAGTAATGAGGCAAATCTTTCCAATCCAAATCTGCCAAACAACCCAAAAGCTAATATGAACCAACTCCTGTAATAGCTACAAAATTTTGTGATTAGCAGCAAAGGAAAGAATCATAACACGACGAAATTGGTGACCGTATCATCACGACCCCGTTAGGCATAATCTATGCAGTCAAAAGCGCGATTCTACCTAGAAGCGGAAAATGGGTAAAATCGTAAAGCGTAGAATCAAAGCGTAAGAACGTAAGTTTTTGACGCATACTTTAATATAACGAAAAATGTGTTAAGTACGATAAAATATGAGTGGACATAGTTTAGATAAGTTAATAAATACTTGTAATTCATGTCTAAAGTTGAGAAACTCATAACATTTTAACAATAAGTTCATAAACATATATCTTAACAATAAGCTACATTCCCCTTTATGCTAGTTTGGGAAGGGCCTAGTTGGTGAATTAGATTACTCTATTGAAATTAAGAATGCACCCAAGTACTTGATATGTATTTTTAATCTCAAATATATCATATTTTTTGTGATTTACCTTTAAAATATAAGTATTTTCATAAATAGAATACTCCTTTAGTGAACTAGAAGCGTAAAAGCGTAAAGCGTTTTAGTGAACCAGAAGCGTAAAAGCGTAAGCTTTTAAGCTTTAAAGCGCATGTTAGTCCCGATTTTATACACTTAAGATTTTATATGGAAATGAAATCGTTTTGGTGTCCTAGAAGCGTAAAACCGTAAGTTTTTAAGTTTTAAAGCGTGATTTTGACTGCATTGGGCAGAATGTGATCAAGTAGTCTGATCATTGTTGAGGTTTCTTTTTTCCGGCTTTTTGAGAGAGAAAGAGTTAAGCTTTGAGTTAGTCAAATTTTTATAAACCGAGTTTGAGATGGTTAACTTATGCAAACGAGGATGTGATTTTTAGTCTGGAGCCCAAGATTCGAATTCCAAGGATGACACTCGTTTCCCTCTTTCCCATCCCTCTAGTGGCATCTTGTAACAGGCTCCGTAAAAAATAAAATAAAATAAAAGATGGTTAACTTATAGGTGGAGATTGAGAGGCTCATTAATAGCAAGAATTGGAGGTAGTTATTTGGTCGTGGAGATAGTTTAGATTGGATCGTAGAAGTTGGGAGGTTTTGAATTTATACTTGGGATGGGGCTATTCAGGGGTAGAAAATAATGATCAAGTATACAAAATCAATGTACATGTGGTTTGGTAGGATGGAGTTGGGGGAGTGAAATTTGCAACTACATGTAGTCTAATTGAATATATCATGATAATTTGTTAATATAATTTTGACTACGTATATATACAATCTCTCAATTATTTGGAGTGCGCGATATACATGAACGTTCACTCTCTAAAAATGTGTTCCATATAGCATTTTTAACGTAATTACCATGTCATTGATAGAAATAATATCAATTTACAATGAGAAGGTCTTAGTTCTAGTCGATGTATTCATAATCGGAAAGTACAAGTGCTAGCGGATACAAATCTATCTGCTTTGGTGATGACTAATTCTCCATCTCAACAATATGAAAAATGGTGCTATCCATACATCAAAAAGGGGGATTGGTTCACACTTAGAGTGCGACACATTTGACCTTACCAATATATGCCCAATCTTGATTTAGTTGGACTTGTTGGCTTGGGGATGAATGATAAACTAACTATTGAGTTTGGGGATGGATCGCTTAACTTGGCTTGATTAGGTGTCAACTAATTCTGTTGTCTGTGATCTTGATACCTGTTGGGGGCACTTAAGGGTCCAAGAGGAAAGCTCAAGGGGCCAACAGGTGGGGAGTTTGGGTTTACCAAAGGGAAGGACCAGCTCAAGAGGAGGCCCATGACTGTGACCTGAGCAGTGGGTTCTAGCCTAGAGGGGGCACATAGCGACAAGCAGGGGGACAACGACTTGAAACGTACGGAGGGGACAAGGAGTGGGCCCGGGCGCCTCAGGACCCGGAAGAATGTGTCAGAGTGCCAAGGCGCCTGACAAGTAGAAGTACGGTGCATTTAACGGCACGATGACGTAGGGCGGATTTGGGGGACAATGGTCGGTCCTACCCCAATTATAAATAGCGAAGTGGGTGGAGTTCATTTACTCAGGTTGGAACTTCTCTCTAAAACTACGTTTCACTTCTCTCTCTAGAAAGACTGTCCTAACTTGGGCGTAGGAGTGCTAACGAGTGGTAAGACATATGAGTTCATTTCGAGATGAGTTCCCCGTCTTGAACATTTTGAGAAACGAATTGCCTGCATGCTTTCAGTGTAACTCCAGTAACAATAATTAAGGAAATGAAACAGCTCAAGATAACCAGTTAACCACGGCATAAAGCCACGTGAATATCCTCAAGCAGCAGCTCAGAGTTTCAAAACAATATGCTCAGTGAATAAATTCACATCCATATGGTCTTCAATCAATCAAACAACATTACCTATTTGGCAGAAATAACAGCAGAGATCTTGATGGATCTTCCCACCTCACTTACAGTTACAGCACAACATTTGCTATAGCAACTCAAATTCAGTGTTCCAAAGGATGATTGAACAATCATTGGATCGGCGATCCGAGGTTTGATCTACCGATAACAAAGGATGAAAACCATGCACATCATCACATACTACTCAACCTCAAACAAATAATCACCAGTACACGAATATTAAGAACAAATTGTGGATTTTTAACTTAGTTAGGGTTCACAATCAAAGGGATGGAGAGAAGAAGCATCTGTGAATAACAAGGTTACAGAGCAAAAAAAGCCAGAAATGGAAGTTGCATTTTCATTTCTAGAAATTACCTAAGCAGGACAAAAAGACAAGGGATTCTGCAAACCTAATACAGGCAAAAAGCCAGAGATAGAAAAGGTCGAGAAAAGAAAAGGAAACAAACTGTTTCGAGCTGCATGCCTCCAATCTTTAGCAAACTGAAAAGGCACCGACAATTTGAGTACTTGGGTATTTGGCTTTGATTGTCTATAGTCTATACCCTCAATTCAAAGAGAGCCACCTAAGACCTAACTAGCTACTTTCACCTCCCATCAAATTTTCCCTTACTTTCTAACACCTGAAAAGGCTACACTACAAATTAATGCCTTATCTGTTCCAACTCTTATCCATGTCTCATTGTCGACATCAGTCCCAACTTGAAGGACATCAGAAAGTGAGACAAAATGGAAATAGGGAAGCAGCTAACCAAAATGGAGACACATTTTAATCATTCTACTTTAGCAATGCATCCATGCACGGATTGCAGTAATCCAAAACCACAAAGAAACGGCTAATAAATTTTACTTATCTGTAGGAATGGAGATTTAGATGCTCAGACCATCCCTTCCTCGCTAGTCCTGTGCTTCAAGCCTCAATGTTTGGCTCCTCGCCGATGCACTACCCTCCTGCATCAATATTGGCTATGGATTTGTGCAAAAACACAGTTGACAAAGAAATTTGGACTAATCAAGTTTGACAACGAGACCTCTGCGTCAATGATTGGGATCTATCACAGACTCATATCATTCTTGTTCAATATGTCGGCAATCTGACAAGGATCATGCTTTACAATCTCGACAGTCGAGAGTCGACAGTGGCCAGTATGTATGGAAATGAATGCAAGCAAGAGGTGTTTCTTTTCTCCCAAAATAGATATATTCAACACGAGAAGGCCAAACTTAAGACCCATTTTCCCAGATCACAAAGACATCTTTCAAGCTTTGTTGCTCTGCCTATGATATTCATCATTTCATTTCTTTCTTTTGGCAGTAAACAATGTTTGAACAGAGTCGAAGACTGGGGTTGGACGAAAATTCAAATAAGTAGCTGAAGCTAGATATGCACAAGATAGGCTTACATAAGCCTTGAACCAAATCGACTGGAAGAATGTAAGATAAGTAAACATTGCAGTCAAAGATATTACTACTGCAAAATTCACCAAGCATTGCAAAGTGGAAAGTTCTTTTTCGGTTCCTTCGCCAGGGAAATGTCCCTCCGTTTTGAAATCTGAAAGCAACTGATCCTTCAGTTTGAATGCATCGACTAACCAGGCAGCAGCCTCATCTTCAGTGGTCGGGATATCCTTCATTGGGATACGCCGAACATGAATGTGAACTTCTGAAGGATCCACCCCGAACGCATTGTCCAAAAATGTAGGACATTGATGCTTGTATGCAATAGTCAAATCGTAAACTGCAATCACAATAGAATTGTTTAACAAAGGGATCATGGTCAGACATAGGCTGTGACCGCTAAATCAATGAGGAACACTATTTCCCTCAGAAGGGTAAAATACTGAAAACGTTATTTTATTACTTTCAGCTGTGTTTGAAAGACTTGATTAAATGGCAAGTTACCTGCGTCCAAGGAGTTCTGCAGAACTTCCAAACAAACATAGAAGCCCTTTGTTTTAGGCAGAAGGACGTTTGTCAATACAGGAAGCCCCACTTCAGTGGCATATTTTTGACTCTTCTGGCATTTCTCTTCACTGAGTGACAACACACAAAAACAAAAAACAAAAAAAGGTCAGCGATGCAAAATTGTAGTTAACTATAAGTACAACTCAAAGCTTAGATTCCACTGCACAAATTCAGATCGCATCATGAAATGGAAGATGACATTCATAGGGATGAAGGGAATAAGGCAGTACTTGAAATCTGTTCCTTCAGGAAAAAGGGCAAGCCACAAAGGATCTCGAGGATCCTCAAAAGTCGAGAGCATTTTTCTCATCACCTGCTCATCAACTTCCCACTTCCTCTCCACCGATATGAACTCCAAGATGTGAAACCCCCACCCAAATATCGGCAGCTTCATCAAACTGCTCTTCAACACGTACTTTATACACCCTAGGCATCCTTTCCTCAACGCCAGATTCCACAGATACATCCAATCGACCTCGGTCCTATGATTCGCTAGTACCAAGACTCGCTCTTTATCCGGCACCACATCCCCAGAAAACACAACTCTAGTCCCATTTATCTTTTCAAACAAGAAGGGCCACAATGCTAGCCAGAGAGAGAACAAGTAGGACGTTACTTTTCTGGAACCGTGTACGCTAACAAGCCTCGGCAATACTGCTGCTGCAGGTCCAAAGTAGACCAAGAACGTGAACGCGGTCGACAGGTAAACTACTAAACATATCAACCCCCTTACTAGCCTGAGAGAAGTCAAGGGACGATGCTTTAGACCATGACTGCTTTTCACAGGCTTGCAAGGTTCCACCATTTCCAGTCTCCTGTGGAGGGAGGGAGGAACCGCTTTCTTTTTTACTAACTACAGCTGCACAACATGTTATAGTTACTTAGCACCTAAAACTTCTCATAGCTGGAGGAAATTAACGAGAAGAAACAGCCAATTGCAAATTGAAAGAGCAGCTCGAAATAAAACTCCATGCTAGTGCGGAATCTGATAGATAAAAACGCATACAAAGAATTGAGAAAACGACTATACTTCTTTTTCTTCTCGAATATGAAACTCCTTCAACGCAATTATGGCAAGCAACATAAGATTTAGAGTTTCAAACCAGTGTTCAATAACGCACTTCTTCTGGGTCGCAATCTCACAGAACACTGTTCCATTAGATAGAAAGGCAACAAAAAAGTCGTCGCCAAGAAACTCCGTAACAGTTCAGAATTCAAATCCGCAGGTAACCATCCATAACAGATTCATTAACTAACCACCACAGCTCAAAATCATAATTGGCCGCTACATCCGCCATATCCACAGATTCAGTTAGCTCTAAGCTTAGCACTTAGCAGCATCTTGTAGCGGGCGAGAGAAAGAAGACGTAAAATCGAATCAACGCGAGACTCCATTACCGGGAATCCGAAGAAAACAGAGACAAAGATCTATGCGAACTGAAATACTCACCAAGAAACGTCCGGGAAGAGAGGCGACAGATGCGAACGGATGAGAATTGCGGTGGTGATGCAGAGCAGAGCAGCTTTGTGGAGAGGGGAATAAGAGAGAGAGAGAGAGAGAGAGAGGGAGGGGATGCTTGCTCGGCCGTCGTATTCGAGCAGAAGGAATTTGTTTTCTTCCCGAATCTAGATTCGTTCGAGAATACTATCGCTTCCCCGGAGGAAACTATGGAGCGACGGGATTGGTCCGGATTCCGGAAGAAGCGGAGTGCCGGGTTACGTGGCGCGGTGCGGTTGGTTGGTGGGACGGTCGCACCAAGGGGCTGCTCTGAGCTCTGTGTATCGGATCGAGGCCGGGGGATATGAAGAGTTGACGTGGCGTTGCGGGGAGCGCCAAACGGAGGGAGGCTTTGATTTATATATTTGGCAACGAACTGAGGAAAGAGAGGGAGTTGTGATCCGATTTGATACCGAAACGGTGCCAGCCAGCGAAGCGAGCGAGGAGATAGGAACGGAAAGGAAAGGAAAGGAAAGGAAACGACGAGGAATGTATTGTGAATGTCTGGCTGAGCTGAGCTTGACTTTCTTTCTTGGCGTCTTGTTGGAATTGGGCCGGTCAAGTTGGTCTTCATCTTGGGTTTTACCACGGGCTTGTTGATGGTCCCGTCCATTATTTCAGGTGATCCAGCCCGGAGCGACTGATGGATGTTAGCTTGGGCCGGTAAAATAATGTCATTTGAATCAGTCGTCACTTATTCCGTATCTGGAAGGAAGCGGGCCCAGATTTCCTTTGCCGACATCTTGTGACGGTAACCGTTGATTTCCGGTAACACTAACCAGACAGATATGCGTGAGAAGGAAGGGATTATTTATGTTGGGCGCACGTTTCCCTGTGCTGTCTTCTTCGAAACTACCAAACCCTAACTCCTGCTAATATTCTGCTGCTAGGCGCACGTTTTTGCGTCTGCAGAAGACTAGGGTCCCGTTCAGAAGTAAATCCACGTCCGATGATTAGCAAACTCGGAGACGATGCCCTCACAGAAATTCTGATTCGCCTCCCGGATCCTAGATCCGCCTGCCGGAGCAAAGCCGTCTGCAAGCTGTGGAGATCCCTGATTTCCGAGCCCTGCTTCAGTCGGCGCTTCTTTTCTCACCACCAGAGCAAGAGCAGCAAACCACCTCCTTCCAAGCTTCTTCTCTCAGCCGACAGCCTGAGATTCTTCATCCGTGGACCCTGCCTGGGTCATCAAAATTTCGCGGTTTTTGATTGCTTCAAGGACTTGCTTTTATGCGGGTTTGGGGAATCAGCTAACATCCATACTAATAAGGAAATCGCCAGATCGTACTTGCTATGCAATCCGTTTACAGAGCAATGGGTCGCCCTCCCTGTGGCCCCTGAAAGGCCAGTGGGACTTGGCGGGTTGTCTGCAAGGTTATTTTGTGAACCCTTAATTTCCAATACTCTTGATCTGGGAGGTGGCCATGTGTATCGGTTTCGTGTGGTTTGTGTTTACCAAGATAGGAATTATATGAAACTAGATGTGTTCTGTTCAGAGTCCGGAAAATGGACCAAGGAGGCTCTTGTGCTTCAAGATTATCTAATAATCAGAATGAAGGATGTTGTTTCATGCAATGGAGTTTTATATGTACCCTATGTTAGAGCACAAGACAAAGATGCTGGGTTGTATAAACCTCTGATTGCTGGTTTCGATCCTTTCTGCCTTGATATGCCTCCCAATTCTATTCTTGTTTCCCATATCGGCAGCTCCGAATGGAGTTGGAATATTTCAGTTTCACAAGGTGCTCTGCACTTGACTGTGTATGATGATCACTATAAACCTGCTGGTTCGATGACTCTCTTAATTGTTTGGAGACTAAAAGAAGATGGTGAATCTTGGATAAAGGTATGCGAAGGTCCACTGAAGTTAGCGGGGGAGAATTTTATACTCAGTGTCCTTGGCGCTCCTACACTACATCCAATGAAGCCAGAGATTGCTTTCTTCTCTAATTATGGAATTGGTACTGGTACTCAGACATGTCATGTGTCTTGCGATTTGAGTAAAGGGGGAGCGCTACAGTTTGTTGCTGAAATAAGTCAATATTTTATTGGTTGGAGGGTGTTTAAGCCCGAGGTCTATTGCTGGCCTACTCCGATTCCAAGGTATCAAAAGTTGCGAGTTATGTACGACGGAGGATACAAATCTTGGGGTCGGAGTAACGAACTAATAACCCACCCAGTTGCAGGTATTTACTACTTCTACTCCTTAGAATTTACCTTTTTCTTTGTTAGTTGAATGTTGCTTTACATACCACGCTTATCTATGGGTAATAATTTCTCTTTATAATTTGAACCAATATGCTAATATTAACACGTATTTTTCACATTACATAAGAGGAAAAGTACGATAATAATTCACTAGAATGAATAAAATTAATTTAAACAACACAATTTCATGAAAATACTATATTTATATGCTTATTACAAAATATGTTAAAAAAATGATTATTTCTAGAAAAATACACATGTGTATAATTGGGCGGGTTCGGGTTGGATAGTGATTAGTGAGAAAACCATCCCACCCATTATCTACAATTTTCGAATTCAGGTTTTACCCGTACCCACTAAAGTCTTTCGAGTTCGGGTTTTAACCTACCCGACTAGGTCGGATTCGGGCGGATATCCACGGTTATGGATATTTTTGCCATCCCTATACAAAAGAAAACCCTCACCAACCTTAAACTCCAATTTTGACGATAAATACGGGTGTGTTGGGTCGGATTGGACGAGTGGGTCAGTTTGCGGATTGTTTTGTTTACCCCTAGTTGGTTGTGCTTTATTTCGTTTTGTTTGATATCTAATCATTTTTTTTCTTGTGTGTTATGATCGGCTTGACCTTACTCAATCATTAGACAAAAGAGGGCAACCAATTGATGGCAGCGTCATCGAACGAAGCCGAAGGTGGTGCTTTGATGCAATTCCCATGATCATCGAACGATGTCGAAGGTGGTGCTTTGATGCAATTAACATAATGATCATCGGACGATGTCGAAGGTGGTGTCGAAGGATTCAAGATAGATGCAGGGAAAGACAGAGAGAAATCCACATCACACTATATTCGTTTTTCATAATATATCTTGTTGTGATCTGGTATCTAATATTATCTGACCTCGTATTCATATTGGCTAGACTGTATAAATCATTTGATGAATTCTGACCCACTTGACTCTATAAATCATTTGATGAATTCTGACCAACTTGACTGGCAATTGGGTCTGGGTTTTTGGTATTGTCGCAAACAATAGCTGCTAACAATGGTTTTTTACAACAGAATAAGACTTTGAGTGACATTGGGCGAAGAGGATGAGGGGCGGGGAGGGAAGGGAAGGTGAGGCCACAATGCTCTGCCAGATTTTTGTCTAATTATTATTATTTTTCATTTTTTAAATTTACATGTGTTTAAGTTAACGGTTCAGTTAGTAGTCCCATTTGTCATGTCATCAAGTTAAGATTCAATCAAGAGTCTCATTTGCCATGCCCTAAAAAAAAAAAAAAAAAACTAGCGATGATATGATTAGTAAAGTTAGCGATAAATAAGAAAGGAAAGTGATTTGGGTGAAAGTTTATGTAATTTGAGTGATCAAACGTGTAATTTAGTATTTTTCAAAATGACAAACTTACTTTTCGGGTACATGGCATGTTTGATCACTGGTTTTATAAAAAAGTGTTTATACCTGGTCACTCGAAATAATTAATTTCATTTGTGGTCACTAAGATTAGTTCAGTAATTCTGAGTTTAGTCACTTTCCGTCCAATTCCGTTAACTTTGGCTGATTGGCAGTCAACTCTCACAGTTGATCATTAAATAAGTAAGTAATGTGATAATTAAAAAAATAAAATAAAATTCAATATTTTACAATTTTCACATCATTTTCACAATTATTAAATTAAAAAAGTAAGAAACCTGAAAAATAAGGTAAAATTAAAGAGAACTTCTATCCTTCCCTCACGTCGACGGGTTTCCGGTCACCTCCTCACTTCTCCAGTTCTCCATGCGGATCTTCCTCCCATAATCCACTCCCAACCCTCTCGCCCCAGATTTGAAGCTCCGTTCCAAAGGTAAGCCCCTCAACAACAGCATGCCCGGTGCCCTTCAACAAACGAATGAATCTTGATGTCGGCACTCGGCAGAGCCCAGAACCCGCTTGTCGACGTGCTTGGTTTCGCCTACGAAGAAGAGAGAGGAGCTGGAGCCGCTTAATTGTTGTTGCTACTTGTTTTGGTATGGATCGAGAGAGAGAGAGAGAGAGAGAGAGAGAGAGAGAGAGAGAGAGAGAGAGAGAGAGAGAGAGAGAGAGAGAGAGAGAGAGAGACGAAGCCGTCTGGCAGGCAACACTTGCGGACTGGGTACGTGCTCTACGAGTTTGGGTTCGATTCAGTGAACTATGATTATAAGCTGGTGAGGATGGTGACTTTCGTCGGGGACGAGAATGTGTGTAATACGTATAATTACAATTACGAGGTGAAGGTTTATAGCTTTAGGAGCAATTCGTGGAAGATGATTTTGGATGTCCCATTGTGTATCTGATTCTTGCATAAGCCCCTGCATTAGGTTTTGCATATATAGGAGAGGGTATGGAGTTCTCTTTACATTGGGTGCTGTGCTGTCTTAAAGCCTAAAGGACTATGCTGAGCTTGAACAATTAAACTGTCTCTTTTGATTTTGTTGCTAAGAAGTTTGATGAAGTGCCTCAACCGGAGTATGAGAATGAAGATATGATACTAAGTTAATGTGGGGGTTCTGACTTCTGAGAGAGAGGCGGCCGCCCGGAATATATCGGGTGAGAGTAGGGATGGCAACGGGTCAGATACGGTGCAGATACCCTATATCCACTACGCGTTATTTATGTCCGCGGGTTTTACTAGTCACCGCCCCGTGAAGCTATATGGGCACAAAATCTGGACCACACCCAAACCCAACCGGATTTCGGTGAATCCACAAATCACGGGTTACCCGCCAATATATAACCAAAACCATTCCTCCATATCATTACAATGTATTAAATGAAGTGAAATGAAACTGAACCAAAACATTTATGACATGAAACCTGTAACCATGAACTTGCAAACCCATAACTTGTCTAGAATCCAGAAATATGACAATGATAAACTAAGAATAACTGTATCCAAATCTCAACTAACAAGGAAAGAAAGCAGAGCTAACTAAGTCGGAAACATATCCACAAAAGAAAGTCTGGTAGTTCAAAAGCCGAGATAGTAATACTCTAGGCAACTATGATTAACCCAACTAAAAATAGTATGAAGTCCGAGCTATCAAAATCCATCTTCATCAGCACACCAGCAGGCAAAACATCTACAGCAGACCAACATGCCTTTGCCATCATCAGCAGGCAGCAGCACAACATCCTACCATCAGCAGACCAACAATACATCATTCACCATTAATTCACTAACTAGTGCCTAATGGACAAGAATATACAGTATGACAAATTCAAGGTGTGTTCGGAATTTAACACAGAACTCAGAAGCAAGCATTAGTAGGGAAAATGGAAAATGTTAATGGTTCAATCTCAAACCTGGAGCTAGTCCAACATATTGAGGACACCAGCTACATCATCCTCGTCTCCATTATGCATCGATTGACCAACAATACATCATTCACCATTAATTCACTAACTAGTGCCTAATGGACAAGAATATACAGTATGACAAATTCAAGGTGTGTTCGGAATTTAACACAGAACTCAGAAGCAAGCATTAGTAGGGAAAATGGAAAATGTTAATGGTTCAATCACAAACCTGGAGCTAGTCCAACATATTGATGACACCAGCTACATCATCCTCGTCTCCATTATGCATCGATTGACCAACAATACATCATTCACCATTAATTCACTAACTAGTGCCTAATGGACAAGAATATACAGTATGAAAAATTCAAGGTGTGTTCGGAATTTAACACAGAACTCAGAAGCAAGCATTAGTAGGGAAAATGGAAAATGTTAATGGTTCAATCACAAACCTGGAGCTAGTCCAACATATTGATGACACCAGCTACATCATCCTCGTCTCCATTATGCATCGATTGACCAAAAATACATCATTCACCATTAATTCACTAACTAGTTCCTAATGGACAAGAATATACAGTATGACAAATTCAAGGTGTGTTTGGAATTTAACACAGAACTCAGAAGCAAGCATTAGTAGGGAAAATGGAAAATGTTAATGGTTCAATCACAAACCTGGAGCTAGTCCAACATATTGATGACACCAGCTACATCATCCTCGTCTCCATTATGCATCGATTGACTTCCAGTTCCATCCGTTACAAAAACATCTAGTTAGAAAAGATTAGAAATCTAAGTTAGCGAACTAGTTATAGCAACTCCATCTTTGAGAAACCAGTTAGTTACCTGTGCACTCTTCCACCGATGCATCATCCATTGCCATAGTTGAGGAAACCCCCTCCAAAGCTTTCAATTCCGAGGCAGACACTATAAGGAAGATAAAGGAAGAATTAATTGATAAGCTTTCTAAACTAGAAATGGAAAACACAACAAAACAGTAAGAATTGGACTAAACAAAAAATCACCTTTGCTATCATCCTGAATCCATGTCCTCAATATCATCATGGCTTCAACTGTTTTGGGATCAAGCCTGCTCCGATGGGGTCCAGAAGCCTCCCACCAGAACTCAAGGTAAATTCCAAAACAACACTTTTAACAGGGTTAGAAAATAAATCTCTTGCAATGTCTTGCAAAATGGGATACTTGGCACCATTGAATTTCCACCAACCAAGCAAATCTGGTGTTCTAGGATGAACATCCTCCAGCTAAATAGTGATCTAACTCAGTGGTTACTACCGATGTTCTAGATTTTTTTCTTTTGGCTCACATATAGATCAAAATCCAGATCTGTGGCCGAAGAAGAAGGATGAGAAGTAGAAAAAACAAAAGTGTTCTTAGAGGATAGCCAAGTCAACAACAACATTTCTGACCCTTTCAATTACAAGGTCGGTACTTGAAATACAAAATTTGGTAGCATAGTACCCAACCAAATCCAAGTTGTACCGCAGATCCATCACAACAGCCACAACCAACAACAAATGTATATCATCCCAGTATTTGGTAAACTTATCCCACATGTTCGCAGCCATAGAAACGATCATCGGATTAGGATCAACTAACCATTCCATCAAACGCAACCTCAAGTCACAAACTCTAGCAAAAAAATGATTGGTTGTAGGATAGTTTGAACAAGAAAATACAACAGTTATGTCCTTGAAAACCTCAAGTTTCCCACATAAAATTTCAGCAAACTCCCACTGCTCGTTGCTTGGCAGAGAGTTGTATTGAGGTTCCCTTCTTTTCATAACAGAGAACACATCCTTATATGGGATAGCAGCATAAAGCATCTCATATGTAGAATTCCACCCAGTGGGAAAATCCAACACCAGTTTCGTAGAAACAACCAGCTTTATTTGCAAGGCAGATCCATGGAAAATTTCAACTCTCTTATTGTGCATGTCCAAAATACCACACTCCCTGATTTTCTCAATTCCATCTTTAAGAACATCTAGGCTATCCCTCACAATCAGATTCAGGATGCGAGCAGAGCACCTCATATGAAGAAGTGTCCCATCCCTACTCAGATTAGATAGGACCAGTCTTTGTTTAACTAGATTGATCATGGAATCATTGGTAGTACAATTTTCAAGAGTAATTGTCGACAATGTACTACCAATGTTCCATGACTGGAGGCATTTAACGAGTTATGCAGGCAACCTCTCGCTAGGGTGTGGGGCAGGGAGATACCAAATATAATCAGATGGTTCCTAAGCTTCCAAAAATTATCTATGTAATGGGTAGTGACAACCATGTAACCCCTTTTTTGGTTTGTTGCAGTCCACAAGTCAATGGTGACAACTATCCTTCCTCTGTTTTGGTCCACGACCTTTTGAATTTTAGACTTCTCTAAACCATAAATAGTTATGATGTCCTTTTTTATGATATTTAGGGTTGGGACTTTGAAGAGAGGGTTCAAGGTGCAACAAAACCTTTTGGAGTAAAGGTGGTCAACAATAGAAAGGGGATACTCATGCACCAAATCATGGTGCAGAGCTCATTTCTAGACACCTCACTACTGAATTGATTGGTAATCATGTCAGCTGTACCACTAACATTGTAGTTAGCACCAAGAACTTTTTGACTCCCATCATGTATTTTTTTATGAAAACATTTGTTCCAATGAGTCCTAAGATGGGAGGTACCACTACTAGATTTTCAAGCCAACACCTTCTTACAGTAGTTGCATTTAGCTTTCAAAATTCCAGACACCATCATCCGAGTTAAGTGAGGCCACACATCAGACTTTAATGACCTACTAGCACCTAAGGGAAGTTGAGGAACAACATCTTGAGGTTCAGGAAGGTTATTAGGATTACCATGAGGTGGGGCAGCAGCAATACCATTCTCAAACTGTTCGAGTTCCATCTGATTAAGAGGAAGAAACAAGTAAAACGTCTTAGAAATATGTCTAGTTGCGTTCTTTTTATATAAAAAACGTTTACAGAGTAGAGTTTAGTTGTTTAAAAGTTCCCAACTTAGCTATTTTGAACGTAAGTGAACAGTTTAAAAGTTCTCACCTAATTAGAACAGTGAGCAGTATAAAAGTTTACTGGAAGTTGTTTAAAAGTTCCCAACCTAGCTGTTTTGAACTTAAGTGAGTAGTCTAAAAGTTTACTGGATTTCGATTTACCTGTTTAAAAGTTCCCATCTAATTACAACATAGGCAGTGTAAAAAGTTCCCAACTAAGTTGTTTCGAACTTAAGTACTTAACAGATTAGATGTGTTTAATACTTAAGTATAGCATAAACATAGTCAATTTACCGAAACTATTCGAACTTAACAGATTAAATGTGTTTTAGAACTTAAGTATATCATAAACAAAATCAATTTATTGAAACTATTCAAACTTCACAGATAACAAGTGTTCGGTACTTATTAAGTACTATTTAAGAATAACATAAACCAAATCATTCACTACCAGATTAGCGGTATTGGATCTTATATTTGATACATTCTATTCACATTAATTGTCGAACAACCAACAACAAAATCATTCCTTACCAGATTAGATGTGTTAAGTACTACTTATGTATAGCATACACAAAAGCATGTATAGCATACACAAAAGCATGTATAGTATAAACATAAGCATTCATTACCACATTAGATGTGTTCGATCTTATATTTGATACATTCACTTCAGTTTACTTTTCGAACAACCAACAACACACAAGGTCGACGACTTACCTCAGCAAACTGTAGTTTAAGCACCACCTGCTTGATGAGACTCCTGAACAGCAAGTTGCAAAAACAAAAGAGCAGGAAAAATTAATCAAACAAACAAATAATCTAGAAAGCTAGGGTCTTAGGAAACCCTAATCGAATGAACTATTGTAAACTAACTTACTGAGAATGACAGACATGTAGTGGGATTTCGAATTCTAGAAGGCTATGGTTTCTAGGTTTTAGGGTTTGAAGAACTGCTGATGAACAAAATGAACAAGTAAGCCTCATATTTATACCCTTATAAGCATTAATCGATTAAGGAAAGAAAGAAAGAGCGGATCAATTGAATACTTTTCTCGATCTGGGAAGGAAAGCGTCTGCATGCACGATTCGGAGACGAGTTCCATCGATTGCGACATTTTAGGTGAATGGGGGCTTGATTTAGGGTTAGATCGAGGATTATTGGTGATAGGAACATCGATTTAGGCCGAAAATGTGTACAGAAATCAGCAGAAATTGACGGATTTGAAGGGATTTGGGGAGAAATCGGCGATTCGCCGTAATAGGGTTGAGTGGAAATCAGGGATGCTGGCGGCGGGTTGTGGTGAAAAATGAGGTTTCCAGTCTCTAACCCTAAAGTTGAAACTTATATATGCATACCAAAACGACGTCGTTTTGGTAGCGGGGCGCATACGGGGCGGGGATCGCTGAATTCTTCCCCAACCCATCACCGAGTCCCGCGGGTCGCGGGCCAGCCCGTCACGCTATCTAACCCCTCATCGCGGGTTTCAGCCCAACTTTAGCAGGTCGAGCCCGACGGATGTCCAAAGCCCGTGAGCTCATTGCTATCCCTAGGTGAGGGTAAGGATTTTGGTATTATAATTTGGCACACTAAAACACAACACCAAACTACGACCAAGTATAATAGCAGTCTGGAAATGCAGAATAGTGGGTAAGTTTAATTTATCAACCTGGTGTCTAGATCTACTGCCTACTCCGTGAACTTCTATTATTTAGCTGGACTAAGTGAGTGTAGGTGAATTCAACTAAATAGAAACTATGCAGTAAATTGTCTGGTTTTCTAAAGCAAGAGAAGAGTCACTCGGGAATGAGTCCCCCTAGCTCCTTAGTTAGGTTCAAGTTGTAATTTCCTTTGCTTGATTTACTGTCGATTGAACTATGGAAGATCTGACAGTAGTTTGGAATCTCTTAAGCTAACCAAGCCCTCTTAGACAGACTAACCGACATACGACTAGTCTTCACGGAGATAGAAAGATAAGGAAATTAACACAGAACTCCACTACTTAAAACAGATTCCAGTACAAAGCAGTGAATTAACTAAATCTCGTACAATCAATTCACTCCTATTGATTGGAGAAGCTCTAACAACCTGATCAGATTCTATCCATATAATGACACAACCCGATCCTTTTTGAAAACCAAACCACAACTTAAACCACAAACCGGTTACTTCGGAGCAACCAAACCACTTTTTAAAACAAACAAACCGACATCATTTAAGAATTTTTAACGAAAAGGCCCAACACTTGGGCAAAATTCTCAATCCCAAACGCTTAAAATGACTTAACACAGAATCTACAGTTTATACTAATAACCATGAAACAAAATAATTAACTAATCTAACTTGACTCCTCACGAGCTTTCCGATATCCCGTCGACGCTGGTACTGCTGCTCGCCTCGCCTGCTTCTTCTCGCGATCCACTTCTGCTAGACTATCCTCAATCTGGTGAGTGAGAAGGGGTCAGTCTCGTCGTTACTTCCTAAGGTCTTTGCCCTAGGAAAACTCCTTACTAAACACATTATTAGGGGAATGCCTTCCTAGCATGAAAGCCATTCTCGCTTTCTGCTCTTAAATAACCATTCTTATCAACACATTTCAACATTAACTCCTAAGATTGCTCGCCGTCTATCCTTAACTCAAACACAAAACACTAGGATCACCGCGTTACGTCTCGCCGTCCGGTGTCCTACCCTAGCATGCCAACCGCGTTACGTCTCGCCGTCCGGTTGCATACCCAAACTCGGCAATGGCACTGCGTTACGTCTCGCCGTCCAGTCCATGCCCGTCAACTACTGCGTTACGTCTCGCCGTCTAGTAGTGACCCAACTGCTCGGGGGTTCCTCATACCAATAACCATACAACATCACATACATCCATAAATAGCACAACGCGTGCCTCCACCCTTACAGGCGGTGGGATGCCTCACACACATATCGCGTATACTAGAAAAATTAACTAAATAATAACTTGAACGAAAAGCGGAAACTAAAAGACCTACGACAGAGATTTTACCCCCTTTACACTCAACTCTTTAG